CCCCCCCCGCAATCCTGGCCACCACGGGCAGTCCGTAGTGAGGCTGGGACAGAACAAACCCTCCCATGGAGGGGACATGCACTCCCTTGCCCTGTTTTTCCCTAGGGTAGCCCATCCCCTCCTCGCAACCCCACCACCACCACCACAGTGGCCGGAGACTGCCATACCTGCATGAGCACTGCTCCGACGGTGGATCTCCCCATGCCGACCTGGTTCCCCATGGATTGGTAGCTATCCGGCATGGAGCTCTTCCATAGGGCGATGGCCACGCGCTTGTGGAGGGGAATGGCGGGCCTCATGTGTGTGTCCCGTTGCCGCAGAGCAGGGGCGAGCCACTCACAGAGCTCGAGGAAGGTGTCCTTCTTCATCCTGATGTTCTGGGTCCATTGTTGGTCTCCCCAGTGCTCCAGGACGATGTGCAGAAAGCGCAGCGGCAGGGCACGCTGGCGTCCAGCCGCTGCTCCTCCACAGTCCCCATGGGGGTCTGGAAGAGGACCTGGGGGTTGGGCTGCTGCAGAAGCTGCCAGGCAGTCTCCAGAGCTTGCAGCTAGACATCCAAAACTGCATCCAAAATGAGCACCAGAGTGCCCAGAGGCAGGTCCGGGTCCCTCGTGGGCTGCTGCAGAAGCTGCCAGGCAGTCTCCAGAGCTTGCAGCTAGACATCCAAAACGAGCACTAGAGTGCCCAGAGGCAGCTCTGGCTCCATGGTGCCAAGGGCTGTGGTGTCCCGAGGAACAACCAAAGCAATAGGAGAAAAAAAATGCTTTGCTGTCCCTGAGTGAGGTAGGCAAGCAAGCAAGCTGGAAAACCTGAAAGCAGGAAACTAGGGGGGGGGTCCCTTTAAGTACAAACCTCAGATAGCCTCAGACAGCAGCCACACAAACCATCTACTGACCTGATGCACTGCTGGAACTGGTTTCAGCTGCCCTTAAATGTGATTCAGCGTCCAATCAGTGTAGACACTATTTCGAAATAGCAAAACTCTATTTTGAAATGCATTTTATGTGTAGACATGTTATTTCAAAATAACTTATTTCAAATTAGATAAGATAAAAGATATTTCGAAATCAGATATTTCGAAATAATGCTGTAGTGTAGACATACCCTGAGTCCCTTTCCCTGGCAGAGAGAGTGTCCTTGAGCTGAAAGCCAGACAAATTCTCATTACACTGCAACCTGAAGGAGGCTTTCACCAGAGTGATAAGCTTGTTTGCATACCCAGATATGCTGCAAGGTGGGGGAGGAATAGTGAGCTTGATATAGAGGCTCTCTTATAGTGCTCTAATAGGAGTAAAAAGCTCCAGCAAACACTTCCTTTTGGAGTCTGAGGGAAGTGAAAAGAAATTCACATCCTGATTTTCATACCACTTGCTCATTAATAACAATAATTATTGCCTTGCAAAGGTGGTTTGCTTTTCTGGGATCCTTTTTGAGTTTCTAGGGTTTGCAAGACTTACCTTTAGCATCATAAAATCCCCTGATTCACAGGGAGAGGAAGGGGAACTATGTGGCAACCCAGCTTCTTTCACCAGGAAGTTGAGGACCTGCTTCAGAATCTGGAATGGGGACTAAAATGGAACGCTAAAACTGTATTATACTTTTCAGCCACTAGAAGGCACTGTGTGTAAAATACCTTATTTAAACAAATCTCAGCCATTCCTGGCAGAGTACGAATGAATCTTATGATGAAGACATCTTTTGTGTATTAGCAAATTCTACGACCAATCCATACCTGGTACACAAGTACATGACATCATCTCAAGAGTAAATTAAGAACAGTTACTAAAGGAAAACAGGAACAAAGGTTGCAGATGGAAGAAAGCAACAAAGGTTGCAGGATCGCATCATCAATATTCTAGTCTTCAATGCACAGAGTACTTAAGTTTTAACAAATCTTCACAATGGAAGAATTTCAAATTGCAAATGAATTCCACAAAGAAAGTGGAGATATACAGGTATCTTTATTTTAAGCTATGAAGCAGAGCATATCTTTAAATCTTTTGGCTTTACTAAAGACAGTGACAAAAATTACTACGAAAGGAACCTGGCTATATTTGAGGAACATGTTATATTCCAGAGAAATGGTTCATGAAAGAGTATTTTTTTCAGCAGGGATTGAAGAACCAGACAGAAATGCTGAATATTTTGTAGAGCTGTGTGTGCATTGGCTGAAACTGCAATTTTAGAAATGCAAAACATAAAAATATTGGTTAACAGGTAAAAACTTTCCATACCATCTACAACTGAAGGGAGATTTAATCCTTGCCACAGTTATACAGGCAGCAAAAGCAATCAAAATTAGTCAAAAAGAACAAAAGGCAGGAACATCTTAAAAAACCTGAAAGCAGCTTAGAAGCTATAAATATACACTTGAGTGTTAAAAGTCATTGTCATAAAAACCTCTAAGGAAAAGAGAGAACTACCAGATTTAGATGGATAAATTCAGCTTACATGCACAAGATATGGAAAAAGGCATATCTTAGGATATGATGCATATTCAGCCAAAGACACAGTGTAATAAATAAATGAGATATGGATATTTTGCAGTTGTTTGCCACACCAGAGCAGTCACAGAATCAACTCATATTACAGACAATCAGATCTTAATGAAAAT